GTTGTTATAGTGACAGAGTTATAAGATCTCAAATCATGAAGCTTTGGACACGGATGTTTATCTGACACTTGATGTGGACCAAACCTGTCTTTCCTCCTGAACATACTGTCAAATGTATGTCCCTGTTCTAGAGCTCATCTCACTGTTCGAGAGGAGACCCTGACTATTTTCACAATATTGTCACTAGACGTGTATTTGTACAGAGCACATCATTTGACACTCACTGAACATATTTAAATAAGAATTCATAAACAAAGCAACATCCCCCGCACACTTGCTTCGACTAAAGATCCCTCTCCTACTCACTCAACACATCTTTCACTCCTGGGTTGCCAAGGTAGCCACTGTTGCAGTCAGGAGGCTCCCACTCTCAGATCCCAAGGCTGCTTCCACCAACAAATCCACACATACACACACATGCCCACATAAAAGCTAAGAGACACACACACACACACCAACACACACCAACCCATCCAAACCACCCCTCTGTGGTACCGCCCTGAGTTCTGGGTCCAGTGCACTGCAGTCTATACAGTGTGTGGGCTGATTGGCTGTCGACCTGAAACAGCACCAGACTGGCTGACAGACAGAGACGCGCTCGGCCGTCACCTTCTGAGCGCACCTCAAGACCTCGGGCGTCCCTGTCCAGCACAACAATGGAGCCTGTCCAGTCCCCCTCCGCGGTTACAGTGCAGTCGCAGTGAAGGGTCAGAGGGAGGGAAGAACCCGCCCTGAGGGCTCGAACGGCCTCTGGATTCAAATATGAAACTGGTGACGTGCTCAACCTTCGTGTTCTATGAAAAGGACACGCGGAGCAGAATGACAGGGGGCAGATGGGGTCTAAAGATAGGGGTCATGGGAGGAGCAGGGCTTCTTACTGGCCAGGTTAAGGCCCCCGTGTCAGTCTGATGAAATCAGTGTATTTGTGTAACACGACTTCTAGTCTAGCTCCTGGACTGGACGCTCAGCAAAGAAGATAAATAATCGGACATTTGCTTCAGATCCTGTGAGGAGAATAACCAGTGATGAAACAATTGGAAATATGTCCCAAAATTGGCAAAAATAAATGTAGATTGAATCAAATTTTGAGAGAATGACTGTAGTATGCTAGAGGTTGCCTACTATTTTATTATTAATGAAATGTACATTATTGATGTGCATGTGGCCGTATTACTTTGACTAGAGGCTCAGGTCCTCAGACAGAGGACTGTTATAAACCACATTTAAAGTAACAGAACTTTAAAAGTCTGTTGTTATGTTTCTGTCTCCCTCTGTAGGCTGAAGGTCCCTCTCTCCTAAAGTCTGAATTTGGTCTCTCCTGTTACCTTTGTTCATATGGGTTGTAGACATAATCAATTAGGCTCAGCTAATTACAGTATGTACTGGCCCAAGGGATACACCTTCACCAGCGATGGTATCTGAATCAGGACCAGCCATTCGAGTACTTGTACCTGTACTTGAAAACACGTGCCGATCCAGTGACCCCAGTACTACTAACGTTTCTCATTAAACCAGCTGCCGTTCAGAGAGTGTGATTTCTGGCCCTGTGGAGTTCAGTGTCTTGTGTTGTTTATTCCCATGTGTCATCAGACAGGAGCAAGGCTTGCTGTAACTGACTGGTGTTGTTACCATACCAGCAGATGAAACTCTGACGTCTCCTCTGGTCTAATCCACTGCCCAATGGCATTAATGAGCTGACATAGTTTGAGTTATTAGTTTAACGGACATGTGAACATAGTTAAAGACAGTTTGACTGACACTTTGTTTACTGTGAGAGACAGGGACATAAAATTGCGACAGTAAATTAAATAACTTTTAGTTGAAATGTTGGAAAAGCTCTGCTCACTTTCTGTTTCGTTGGCTTTGTTAACTATGCTGTTTTATCATTTGTCTTATATATATATATATATATATATATATATTTGTTGTTTTTATATATATTTATATTAGTTTTGTTATCCCCGCAACCCGGTAATGGATAAGCGGATGAAAATGGATGGATGGATAGTTTTGTCATCTATGTTTTTCTTGCTAGTATCTAATGACGTGTCATTTTGATGGCTCAGAATATCCTTTCAATGTTAATTCAAAGGATATACAACTTGTTTCCTGCTCTGTCCTCACTGTGATGTCCTCACCAGTTCATCACATATTTATTGAAACCCAACCTTGTCAAGTACTGGTTTCAGTACAAAACCAATAATATTCACGTAGTATCAGGACAACCCCAAATGACACCGTTTCAGTGTCGACGTGGAACGTGTTTTCACCCTGTAATCTCTATGAAGATTCTCAGTCATCCAGGTCATGGTCAAGTTTTAAAAAGTTCTGTCAGGCAACTGGACGTGAATTTTCTAAAAGAAGACGTTTCACCTCTAATCCAAGAAGCTTCTTCATCCCTGTAGTCTTAAATGAATCAGTTTTGATCATGAGCGTTTTGTCAAAATACATAATGTAAAAACAAAAACAGAAGGTAAACGGAGGTAAATATTTGATCTGCTTCACATTCAACTGACAAACCCCGTGCATAAAGCACACTATTATTTATGCCTTCACATCCAGGTTAGATGCATATTTCATATACGCAATGCCTGTGGGCGTACTCCAACCAAACGAGAGTGACACTAATGAAAGTGTGTTGCCAAAACCACAGAAAAAACGCTGGAAAACAAGACAAACGCAGCCAACCTCCCTTTTTATTTTCGTTATTATTAAATATGCTCTCGAAGCACAGAAGCTGCTGTCTGTCAGTGACGCTCCAGCCTGAACTATTCCACCGCTGACATCAGTCCATCTATTTTTCATAGCCAACATCTGCCTGCATTGCTACCGTGTCACTACAATTTGCATCAGCTCTGCTGGAAAGGTGACTTAAGCAGCGCAGTGCGCACAAAGGAAGTGAGTCAGTGTGCTACAGGCCTACGCATGTTGAGTGTAAACGCGATAATATAAATGTGACAACAATTAAATACGCCATATATGATCAAAAGTGAAAATATTTACTTAATGTCACTTAAAAGATAATTAAAGTTTATGGGGTTTTTTTTATTCAGATGTGCTTTTCTCTTCTCTCTTATACCCAGTAAGAATAATGTTATACATACAGCATCTTATTTAAAAAAATACAATTGATATGAATATACATAACATTTTTCTGTTAACTAATTTTTAACTGTCAAATGACTAAAACAGATATTCCTCCAGTGTTTGTTTCCTTAAATTTGTCTGATATTTAATAATAAATGTAAAAGGATTATAATTATTAAAAAGTAAGTTACCAAAGTTAAAATAATGAGTCTTTTTGTTGTTGGTTTTTCCTATAAAGAAAGGCTGTGATGCTGCTTTTTTTTGTTTCTATTTAAAATGTTTTGAAATAACTTAAAAATAGGTTTTGACGTACACTCTGCTCATTACTCCACTGGCTCTCAGTTTGACATGAAAGGATATAAAAACCTAATGGCAGCAGAGCCTCGTTATACTAATCGATATAAAAGAGAGTGCAGGATGTAATTAAACGTTTTTTCACCAATTAAAAAACGTTATTAACGGCAGAACACCGCTCACAGTTTAGTTTGGAGGAGGACCAACAAAGGAGTCCAAACTCAGGGTCGGGGCCCGCCGATGTGGTTTTTGCTTTTAAAAAGCGCTACAAATTGGGCACAGGGTGACGGAGATGAAGACATCGCAGCGTTTGGAAATCATTTAGAAGTTGTACGCACTTTGTTCCATCTGTATAAATGTGCATCACACAGCTGGGTCATCGGGCGACAAGGTAACCGCTCCAGTGGCCACTTATTAGTGCCAGTCGCCGGTTAATCTTCCTCTGGTTCAGAGAATCTAACGGTACGATTTGAAGTCTTGGTGTCCGCCTGTTTACCGCCGCAGCTTTGTTTGTTTTGCTGCTATTTCTGAGCGGATCGCTGATCTGGGCTGCCTGGTGCTTTTTAATGAGATTATCAGGAGAAGAGTGTCAGTAAGTAGGATCTAAAATGAAAGCCATTACTGAGCATTATCACAAAGCTCCCACTGCTTCAGCCCCCCTCCCCCCCCCCCCACTCCTCTTCCATCCATCTGCTGTATGGCCACCCACACAGCCACTATGCCCAGATTGCAGCCATGATTAGCAGCAAAAGTACTGCTTACTTTAAACACCTCTGGAGAACATGTGGCGCTGCTTCATGGTTAAGCTCCAGTGGGTGAACGCAGACAGAGTTGCTGTGTGTTTCTCCTTGTGACTAATGGAGACGGAGAGACGTTTCTCTCATAATAGATGTCTTGTTTGGATCGATGCCGAGTATACATTCATACACAGACTACTTTATTGTGTGAGAACATATGGCATTCAATTTACACCAGAGCTGCCACCATGTTTATGTTCTTAGTTTTCTCATTATGACTAGTGCACAGGGCAATAAATGCAGAGGAAAAAAGAGAATGTTGACTGATGTGTGTGAGAACCCTTATATAATAGCACTGTTAGATGTGTACTTTGAGTCCAGTAAACAGGTTTCTTCTCTTGTTTATTCACTAATGAGGAAAACAGGAAATGAAGCGCTGACTCACATTTACCTGTCAGTAGGTTATCACGAATTCTGTCTTTCGATTATTTGCTTTAAGGAACATAAACTACTATTTTACTTATAGTATATTTTGTAATGACATTTAACTATATACTGTATATACATAAATATATACATATATACATAAATGTATATATGTATATGTGTTACAATGACAATAAAGACTATATTAATAATAATAATACTATATATACATATATCTATATGTGTATATATACACACACACACATTTATACATACATATACATATATGTATGTATTTATGGACATACAGTACCCACACCCCTGCGAATTGAAATACTACTAAGAACCTGAGAACATATTTTTAGGGGGGCTCGCCTCGAAGTACTGGTCAAAATCAATGTAATGTTATAATAATAATAATAATAATAATAACAGTGTAAAATCTCATTTCTCTACCTGTGATTTTGTCTCGAACAAGCTTGCAAGACTCGATTTCGCCAATGCTCCCAAACAGGCTGCGGAACTCCTCCTGGGTCATGTTCTGGGGCAGATAGTTGACGATGAGGTTGGTCTTGCTGTCGTCGTTTGTCGGGCCGGTCTGCATTGGCGAGGGGCAGCCACGGCTGTTGTTGGTGGGCCCGTTGGCCGTGGTACCTCCTCCACTGGGGCCGTTTGTCACCGGAGACTCCATGTTACTGATGATCTGGAGCACATTGAGGAGGAGGGAGGAGGAGGGGAGGAGAGGAGACAAAAAGACAGGGAGGAAGTGAAAGTTGGAAAAGAAAAAGAAGAGACAATCATTAGTCATAACACCTGTCATAACTTAGTTAGTATTGTTCTATTTAAGGTAATTCTTGGTTTAATGAGAATAGTTTTTTTTAACAGTCTACAATTCTACACCCTGACATTGGGCCGAGCAGATAAATATAATGCTGATGCCACTGATGCTGCTGCTGCGTCTGTGACGGGCAGATACTTGGGTTTGTCATATCTGGATTTATCCTCCAGGTATCAGAGTGGTCACCACTAAACTGTGAGCCTTTGTGCCACCTTGAAAATAACCCAGAGGAGAAGGTGAGAGGGAAAGGTCTGAGGACGCAGACTCACATTGATATATTTTTAATAGAGAGGATTATTCCAAGTGAAGACTCTTCCCTAACAAAAACAACAGGCCGGGGGAATTTATTCAAACATTAGCGTAAAAACATGTTTGATCAAAAATATTAACTTAGTGAGAGGGGAAAATATAAACATTAAACACTACATGGCAGAGGAGTGGCACTGTTCAAAGACACGACTGTTACTGAGCAGGAGACTCGACGCTATCGGCTATCACACTGTTAGTGACCTTGTCTGTACTGTGGGGTTTTTTTTTTAATCTGCAGTTTCCCCCTTTGCTGACATTGGATCCCAGATAAAATCTTTTTGTCACACTGACATTGTCGTCGTGTCCTTTTGTTAGCTCTAAGTGTGTAATTCTGTTTCCATCTCCCACCAAAGACAAATGCTTCATCTGTGTTCACTTCTCCTGACGCTGTGTCGCAGCGACTGTAGTAAATGTCTTCAACCTCAGATTAAAGTTGGGGGGAGGTAAAAAAAAAAAGAAGAGATGTGACTGAATCAAAATTTAAAAGTAACCAGTGAGAACTCTCTCTCCTCTCTTCTCCTCTCCTTAACCATTCAGCTCTGGGTCTATTTTTAACTCTTCCACAGAACAGGAGGACAGGCTGCACTTGGAAGCGGGGCTGGGTTTAACAAAGGGGAAGTGGCCAGAAGTCAGGATTCAGGTTATTTCTGGATTATCAAAGGAGTGGACGTTTGTTCTAAGAATATACACGTGATCTCTAGGAAGAAGTCAAGACGTGACTCGCTGCTGCGTTTGTTAGCTTTCTTCATATTTTGGTTCAAGTTGTTTATGAAATTACTACTGTACAGTTGAATTTATTTTCTAAATATTTTTATCTAACGTTCAGTGAGACAGTAATGCTTAAACAGACATGGATGTCGATACACACTGACATAAACACGCTCACACACACTCTCTCACGCACACTTGCTTACTGCATACGGTCTGTCTTTGTCCCTTCCCCTCTCTCTTTTCTCGTTCTTTACGTTCCACGAACACAGAAAGACAGAGAGAGAACAGTGGGCAGGTTGTTTTGTGCTTTTGACAGTTTTCCTTATGATAAACCAGTGACAATAAAGTGTAAAAGACAAGGATTCAGCAGCAGAAGGAACCACTGCTGACTAGACCAACTGAGTCCACTGGTAAATGTGCTTACACTCCCTGCTAGGCTGCATTCTGTCACCGAGGCTTTTATCTCCCTGGGATGTTTTCAGAGGAGTTTCTACACCAAAAATGTCTGCCTTTAATTAACAGGGACTTGCAGAGTCGCACTGGCCACTTATGTCCTTGTCCCTGCCCACCAGCAGTTGTGCTGCTCAGTGGTGCACTTCACTGTGTATTGGTTGAGAGCAGGGACGACCAGCACTCTGAACTCAGAGCTTGTCCTGATGAATGGCTACGAGACCCTGGCTCTGTTTCTTTTTCTTTTTTACTCATTATCTGGAGTTGCAGTGTCTCAGACTTGGAAGGTCCCAGTACATGGGCAGGCCGGAGAGTAAGTACTGGGCTCTGCCTCCAGTGATACACACAGACAGGGTGTGGAGAGTGGAACAATGTGTGTGTGGTGTCAGAAGAGTTCAAAATAAACCAGGGCTGTCAGACTTTGGTGGCTTTGGACGAATCACGATTAATCATGATTATTCCTTATTGTAATCAATCAGGATAAATCAACACTCCTAACTGTGGCTGGTGGATTTGAGTCAGTACCGTGGGTCTTAACAGTGGCTTGTACAACGTGTCTTCAACAATATTAATCAGTCTACAGTCCAAACCATTTGACAACTGTCAATCAGCCTGTCAGTCGTAGACTTGTTTACTGCCCTGTGCTCGGTGCAGCTGGACACAACTCGGGCGACTGACCTTAAGTCGAAGGTCGCCACAAAAGCCACCTGGGTGTGGAGCTGATGTTTTAAACTACGTGTAAATAACAACGTGTGTATTGACATTTAAAATAATAATGGGATTAATTAGACAGCCCTGGAATAAAGAGTTACTCTTTTGAATTCAGGGCATTGTTAATATCCTACATTCTCAACACTTACAGTGAGTGGGTCGTTTGTAATTCCATAAAAACTCTTTGTCGTGATGGAATTCCAACAAGGAAAAGACCTAAAACAATTTTATTTGACTTAAAAAAAAACCCATCTCAACTATTGGCTGTTCTAATAAATCAACTACATATAGCTGCTTCTCTAATTAGTGGATCATTAGTCTGGACCAGCAACGACCATCCGTACTGCAAAAACAGCCAGAATAGACCTGTGCCTTTCTGCTTTAGTAGAAGCTTTCATAAATGTAAAACACCAGTTCAGATGTCTCTGAAGAAAAGAAGCTCCTGACAGAGAGCTCTCTGCTGTAGACGTCAGCTGCTGTCATCCTTCTGTGTTTCACAGAGCTGTTGGACTGGATTGAAGCAGGCTATATTTAAAGCAAAGGTTGCGGTAATGATTGCACCTAAGTGCTCAGTAGGAAACAGTAGGAAGCAATTAAGTGAAGTCTGCACACGCATTGTTAACATACAAATATATATACAGGTAAAATAGACAGACAAAGAGACATGAAAGGTCAAACAGGTCGGCCACTGAGGATTACTGTGACCTCCACCCTGACCCTGCAATCTTGCATTGGCCTTTTTTTTTATTGCTTCATTCACAAGTCTCTGCACCAACTGTCTCGGTCAGCAGCGTGATGGCTGTATACGTGAACACAGTACATTATCATATCATATCACTTCATGGGTGTGTAAAATGACAGGGCCATCCGTCTGGCAGCAGTCGTCTCCTTACCATCTTTGGCTGTGTCAGCAATCCCTTCTCTGCCCAGCCCTGGAGCTGTGGGAGCTCTGCCTGACGCCACTGTGTCTCTGTCGACCCCTATGGAGCGGAGCACAGGGAGGGAGGGACGCACGGCCCACCGTCAACATCATACACTCACTTTGCAGGGTTAAGGTTGTAGTGGGATCGGGGGAATGGTGAAGGGTGTTGAGGGAAATGGCAACCACTGAGAGATATACAGAAACACCTTTGTCCCAGCAGGGAAACTCAAACAAAGACAGGAAGCTGAGTCATCACTGGGTTTTGACAATGGGTTATTGGCTTCTCTTTGTTTTTTTTACTAATAAATTCATAAATATGTGGTTATATATTTTTAAACTAGCTTTGATAGAATAAAGCTGCATCAAAAAAATATTGCACCACAGCAAATATACATAAGGTGCAGTACTCTTTTTATATGATATATATTTATATAAGCACATATATGTACAGTGTATCTGTTCATATATACATATAAGTGACTACATAAATATCTATCTGTATTTATATCTATATATATATAATTATATAGTCACATATATGTATAAATGTTCAGATGTACATATATGTGACTATATAAATATATATGTCCACCAATTATTCATATAAAGGAAGTAATAACCTGGAGAACTTGCTTTTGTTTCAAGTGTTAAATAAGTGTTCCTTTATTAATAAATAAATGGCTGTGTCTTTGTCAAATGCAGATCGCACTTTGTGCTCTTTACACAAATGATCTCGGCATCAATAATATTATAAGCTGAATTTTGGTATTTTTGGAATTGTGATTTTTTTTTTATCTGTTGACATGATTATCTATCATTAATAGCCTTAACTACCTTATCTATGGATGGAATAAAAAGCTACAAATTGGCACGGACCTAAACGACCTTGGCAGTGCATTGAGGGTTTTTCTTTTCTTCACATCCTTGTAGCCGAGGACAGAAAAATGCTACAAGTGAGCAGTGAGCGTGAGCAGCTCTCCAAGGCTCGGGGCTGAAATGCCCGCAGCTATCTGTGGATGCTGCAGGAGCCAATTTAAACAGAGTGGAGGAAGAGAGGAGGAATGACCTCTGCCTTCATTCACTCCTTCACAAGAATGACGAGCCAAGTGAGGGATCAGTCGTGAGGAGGAAAACAAGACAATAGCTGAGCTGTGGGGAAGACACTTTCAATATTTAAAAAGGGAGGCGGAGACGGGGTTGGGGGAGGAGAGCGTCTGTACACGTTCTGTTGTCAGTGTGTCTTGTCGGCTTAGACAGGGATGCATAATGGAGGTCTAAACGAGACTGAACTGTCAGCTTCAGGGAAGGAAAAAAAACGGGAATGGGCAGAGGTCAGGGTACTAGAAGAAGAGAGGAATTTAGTACTCGTGCGTACGGAATAGAGAATATTATGAATATTTCTCATCAGATATTTAGCTGGGATCCGCCTTGGCTTTAGCCTGCTTTGGACCAACGTTTCATTTGTAGTTTGTGATAAAAATCTAGAGTCTGACTATTGATATGTTGTATCATATCCTAATTCATTTGGAGTCATTTCTGGTAAATGAAATCTAATGCAGGGTTACCAAGCTTACTCTTATGATTACAAGCCAAATTCACAGAGACCTTGACATATTAGCAGTCAACACTAATATTAGAAGTTAAATATTTGGATTATTACTGCTGACTGACTAAATGCAGTGTAATGCGTCAGTCAAAAATGTAGCCTGCAACACAGTCCAAAAAAGTTCCACTGAAAGAATCACCAAAGTATCTACTGTAGCAAAATTAAAGACTTATCTGTGTATCTACGTTCACGTAAAAATTCAAGGAGAAAAGATCCCTCAGCTGACCATCTGCTCTGGTACCATGATCTTTATTGTCACATGGTTTTGGGACGTTCATGACGTCGCTACTTGATCCTCGATGTTTGCAGTAAAATGTATTTTTTACAGCAAGTGACGAGGGTGTTGTTTTAAACAAAAAGACAAAAAGAGGTAGCATCCAGGGCTTGTGCTTGATTGGTCTGCCAGCAGCCAATCAATATGTTAGAAAAAGCACAGGACATAGTAGAGAGGATAATCAGAAACTTTATGAAGTGTGTTGCAGGCATTAACCACTGAATTAATTAAATTGTTCTTATACAAACCGTTTGAGTACATAGTTTAAAGATTTTTAGGATTTTTACAGTTTTTGCTCTTTTAATTATTGTTAGTTATCTTTTAGAATGAGATCTACAAAAAAGAATAAGTACATAAACATTGTTTTTATGTAACAATAACTAGCCTGAAAAAGAGAAGGTTAAGCAGAGGTGAAACATAAAAAAAAAAACATTTTTCACCCATTGCTAAAGAGCTAGCTTTTGGTTTTTTATGTCAGCGCTAGTGCATGGTTTGCCAAAGCAAGCAAACATGACGGTGCTGTGATGGCATGGAGGTAGCATGGTGATAGAAATGTACGAAGCAACAAGCAGATGTATATGAGTCTCCGTCTGAACAGGTTCCATCAGCCGCGGTTCAGTGTCGGAGAACACGTGATGGAACGTGATGTTTGGGAGGAGTGTGTTTAAAACTCTGTGTTTCATTTAAACAAATAACAGAAACAAACACTGCTCAGTGTTTTATATTCAGTGCTCAACCATTTGTTAATACACACACACACACACACACGCGCGCGTGCACAATTTCATCTTTCTTAATTTTCTCGCCGCCGGCCCGTTTATCACATGAACACACACGTGCATCTTTGGATAAAATCTCAAATAACACTGGTATCAGGGTGCGATGCAATTACATTCACCAACCAGTGAGATGAAAAAGCTGCTCATGGATACAGTTTCAATTATTCAGGGAATACATTTCAGTTGCTGCTCGGGATGCTGGGAAAACTTATTATATAATCAATACACTCTATAACACCGTTAATATTTGATGCCACAAAAGTGCTTCCTGTCTCCTTGGGCTCCGGGCCAGTGGTGTCTGCCTTCTGCAGTCAAACAGGACCAGCTCTATCAACCTGCTGCAAAACCTGATGGGTATTTTTGTGGAAATAGGAAAGGCTCCAACAACTTTCCTCAAGATTTACTGCAAACGAGTTTGTCTTTATGATGCCCTCTGCATAAGATTATTTCCTTCCCTTCACAGACCAGTTACCTATATAGCCTTCAGAGTTCAAATTGACTTTTTGTCTCCCTTTTCTGTCCCTTTCACCTTCATCACTCCCCCACTGCTTTTACACCATAAACCAGTACTTTATATTGCCGTCCTGATGCGGGCATTCTCCCCCCCTTCTTCTCTTTCACGCGCACAGCTTAGACAATCAATTTACCCTGCCCTGGCAGGGAGAGATGGAGGCTGATGAGACTGCAGAGTAGACTGTATGCTGCAGAATCACTCCACTGACAGACACACTAGCTGGCAGTTACAGAATCAGCTAACATAAAGCAGCTGGCTCAATTAGAAAAGTTCTAGATGTAAATCTAAAAACGGCTAAAAATAAAAAAATTAATGAAAAGCTCGTCTGGCGACCAATACTAACGTAATATTTATTATACTTTTTAAAACAAAGATTAAAAATATTTACTAATATTTGTATACAGTGAAATCTCCCCATTTTTTGTGCTCTACTTTGGAGCACAAATCAATAGTAATTATGAGACAATGATAACTGTGGACTTATTTATCATCATGATAACCTTTCCGCTGATCTTCTACTCACTTCTACTCAAACTGATATTGACATTTGGCGTGTCCTCCGTCCGCTGCCACATCGCAGTGATTAAACTCGTACAAAAACCCCCCAGAAATCCCGAAAGTCTCCGTCCCCTGATACACGTGATACTGCATTTGAGTTCTTGTCAAACCCAAGTCAAACATAAAGATTGCAGGACTTTACTATCTCAGCTCCTCGGCCAGTCGAGTTCCCAGTAATGCTCTCTGCACTATTGATTTTTTATTTTTCTCTCGTCTCTCCTTTTATTCCTGGCTGCCTGTCTCTCATGTCTCTCCACCTCCAGCAGCATCCTCCGAGCTCTGAAATGTCCTGCAGGTCAGACGAATGCTGGGTTGGATCAATCATGGAAAGTAATCTGCGACGCCACATGCACTCATACACACACGCACACACGCACACACACACACACACCCCTCCTCTGTAGCACTCTGGTCTGCCTACCTCCAGCCTCATCGATCTGCATCTACTTTACCAAATGGATTCTTCTCTTCTTCTACTTCATCCTTCGTGTGGGTGTGCGTGTGTGTGTATTGTGTGTGTTTGTTACCCGGAATAATAAATGTTCCAGACTGAGCAAGACGTGGATGTAAGCAAATTTTCATTTACCTTGGCTTGACTTTTTTTCTCCCCCTCTTTCTTCTCTCCCTCCGTCTGATGTTTTAGTTGTCAGTGAAATCAATGCAGCTTCCCCTACACTTCCTTGTAACCCTCGGTAATTGGCATTCACTCGTGTGAGGTCAGAGATTAGAAGGAAACAGAACACAGACCACATCACCTCAGACAGGAGGTGCTGTATGTTTGTACTTTTACAGCGCCTAAATAGTTTCTTTGCTTCTATAGTCACTGCTGGACCAGCCCCAGTCCAGACCAGCCCCAGTCCAGACCAGCCCCAGTCCAGACCAGCCCCAGTCCAGACTAGCCCCAGTCCAGACTAGCCCCAGTCCAGACCAGCCCCAGTCCAGACTAGCCACAGTCCAGACCAGCCCCAGTCCAGACTAGCCACAGCCCCGCCAGAGGCTCCACTAGGATATGTTTACCTTCTGGTTCTTTGTTGCGTGAAAAAAGACTGGCAGCTTTATTCAAAGCCAATTGGTCAACTCATGTACACCAAAACATACACATTTGAACCTTGTTCACAACGTCCCAGTAGTAATTATATGATCCAGAAAAGCACGCTCTGAGCAGATCTATAGCCAATGTCCAATAACACAGTAGATAAATAAAAAATATATTAAAGCTCAGTTCCACGACTGAGACATTTACCCTTGACTTTTCATAGGTGAATTGCATTTTTTGGTTGCAGATACAAATAAATGACAAAAAAAGTCTGTAAAACCTGTGTCCATC